ACAGGACCCCTTTGGAAGAGCTGAGTTTCAACACAGGCTGACGGCGCCTGTAAGACACCATCAATTGTTCGGTGCATGATCCAGAGACGTGTAAATAAGTGAGTCACAGAATTCGTGTTAAACCAAAAAGCAGAATAAAATGGCATGTGGATAATGACATGTCTTTGCAGACGTGACCAGCTGGAAGGAACTACACTAAAATGTTAATATGGATTTTCTGTAGGTAGTAAGACCAGAGTTTTCTCTCTCTCTAAACAACTCTTCACTTTCTGGATTTTCCTAAAGTGAGCATGTATTTAGTGACCATATAGGAAACAGGAGAAACAGAACAGGGTGATGTATGTAAGGAGGGGCTGGTCAGGGAGGGCTTCTTGGAGGAGGTGACTCCCGAACTGGGAAGGGGCCTGCATGGGAGAAGTGGTCGGAGCTGAGCAATGCTGCATCCCATGTCAGGACGGGGCCCAGGGCACGGGTCAGATGCTCGACACATATCTGTTAAATGAATATGCTAGTTGAGGAGAAGCTGCTAAAACGTGAGGCTAAGTCTCCAGGGGTCCCAACCAGAGTCTGGGTCTTTAGCAGGGCCATTCTCACCAGACTGAGGTACCGCACAGGCCAGCTACCAGCGGAGCCAATAGCAGGGCTCAGAAGAAAGTCTGCAGCCGCAAGTTCAGCAGAAGACGGTGGTCGCATCTAGTTTCCCCACTTGTGAAATGAGAGTTGCACCTCTGCCATCACACGAGCTTCGGATGACACAGAGCTTTGAAATACTGAGCCCAGCGCAGGTACGAGGGGCTGGGCTGCTCCAAGGTGTCCTCGTGGGAGCCCAGACTCCTCCCTGCAAACCCAGCACCTCTGGGCTCACAAGCTGTTCTGGCCCGCTGCTCAGCACGTGGAAAAGATACTGCATCAGCTGCGTCCTTCCTGCCCGCCTGTGCTTTCCTGGACACGTTTACTGTGTACAGGCCTGTGCTAGAAACTGCGGATACGGACATGAAAGATGGGGCCCTGCCCTTGGGAGATGCAGAGGGTGCCAGGGACAGCCGGGCGAGCAAGGAGAGTGCAGTGAGCCCCGGGACTGACCGCATGGCAGGGAGGACAGGCTTCCCGAAGGAGGGATGCCTCCTTTACGGCCAAGACAGCAACGACAGCCGCCCACGGGGCAGGATCAGTGAGCACATTGTTTCGTTTTACCCTCACAATTTTGTGAGGTTATCTACATCTCACAGATGGGGGCCGGAGGCTGGGCTGCTTGCCAAGGTCACGGAGCTTAGGGACAGCAGTGCCAGGATTTGTACACTAGCCTGGGGGATGGGGGACAAGGGGCACTGGGGCGCCGAGGGTGACACGAAGGGCCAAGTGGGCTGCGGCCTCCTTGTGAAGAAGCCAATGTAAGCAAATCCAAACGGGCCTGAAAGGGAAGATGTCCCTGGGCTTTCTGTCCAGGTCACCCCCCCTGCCCCAGCCACCTACTTGGAGGACATTCAGCGGGGGGATCCTGCCTCCTGGGGCCAGGGGCCTGTGGTCCCACCCAGACTCCTGCCCTAGTCCCAGCTGCTCAGGGTCGGGGCGGGGGGACTGACCATCTAGCTGGGCCCAGTGCAGTCACACGAGTCCTTAAAAACAGAAAAGGCAGGAAGCAGAGAGGCCGCAGGAGGCTGAGCCAGAGAGATTCAACAGTGGGAGAAGGACTCAGCCCAACATCGGTGGCTGTGAAGGGGTCACCGACCAGGAATGCGGGTGGCTGAGAGCCATCCTCAGCTGACAGCTGGCAAGGAAATGGGAACCTCAGTCCCACACACAATTCCAGGGAACTGAACTCAGAGAAGCTAAATGAACCTGGAAGCCGATTCCCACCAGAGCCTCCAGAAGGGACCGCAGTCCTCGATTCCGGCCCGTGAGACTCAAGCAGAGAACCCGCTGAGCACCCAACGCCCAGACTCCCGACTCACAGGCACTGTTGTCAGCTGCTACGTTTGCAGCAAGCTGTGACGGCCACAACTGGAAACCGAGAGTGAATACATGAGGTGGACTCACGGTGAGGTGGTGGGATGGGGACACATCTCAGGTCCCCACTCTGACTCAGCATGGCAGGCCTGCGCTGGGGGACCTGGGAACTCACACACACACACACACACACACACACACACACACACACACACACGAACGGGCCTGAAAGGGAAGATGTCCCTGGGCTTTCTGTCCAGGTCACCCCCCCTGCCCCAGCCACCTACTTGGAGGACATTCAGCGGGGGGATCCTGCCTCCTGGGGCCAGGGGCCTGTGGTCCCACCCAGACTCCTGCCCTAGTCCCAGCTGCTCAGGGTCGGGGCGGGGGGACTGACCATCTAGCTGGGCCCAGTGCAGTCACACGAGTCCTTAAAAACAGAAAAGGCAGGAAGCAGAGAGGCCGCAGGAGGCTGAGCCAGAGAGATTCAACAGTGGGAGAAGGACTCAGCCCAACATCGGTGGCTGTGAAGGGGTCACCGACCAGGAATGCGGGTGGCTGAGAGCCATCCTCAGCTGACAGCTGGCAAGGAAATGGGAACCTCAGTCCCACACACAATTCCAGGGAACTGAACTCAGAGAAGCTAAATGAACCTGGAAGCCGATTCCCACCAGAGCCTCCAGAAGGGACCGCAGTCCTCGATTCCGGCCCGTGAGACTCAAGCAGAGAACCCGCTGAGCACCCAACGCCCAGACTCCCGACTCACAGGCACTGTTGTCAGCTGCTACGTTTGCAGCAAGCTGTGACGGCCACAACTGGAAACCGAGAGTGAATACATGAGGTGGACTCACGGTGAGGTGGTGGGATGGGGACACATCTCAGGTCCCCACTCTGACTCAGCATGGCAGGCCTGCGCTGGGGGACACACACACACACACACACACACACACACACACACACACACGTGCTCTGTAAATGAAAGCCTTTACGCTCTGGGGTGTGTGCCAGCCTCACGGGTGGCTGGGTCGCCAGCCCCCGGCACAGAGCAAACAATCTATTAGCTTTAACTGTCAACGTGAAGACAAGGGCAGACACTTCCCTAGCGGTCCAGTAGTTAGAACTCTATGCTTCCACTGCAGGAGGCCTGGGTTCGATCCCTGGTCAGGGAACTAGGGTCCAGCACGCCTCGTGGCCCGGCCAAAAAAAAAAAGAACAAGAGCAGGTCCCTGAGAGACTGGCCACATTAGGGAAAACAGCAAAGGAGAAGTGTCCATGTACAGAAGAGAGGGCCCAGGCCTGGGGGCCCGGGAGAGCCGGCTAAGGGGGCGGGGGGCAGACAGCAGCCCTTTCCCTGTGGCCCCACCTCAAACCCAGAAGCGGGCTCTGACCTCTCTCAAGAGAGGGCCAGCAAGGACATATCAGATGGCGAGGGGCCATGGCAAGATCCCCCTCCTGGACGAGGAGAACCAGGCGCCTGAGGAGCCGCAGAGAGGAGCAAACACCCTCCAAACTCCCATCTTTGCCACAAAGTCAGCAGCAAAGGCCCTGAGGTCATCTGGCCACAGGATTCCTGCCTGTCCCAACAGGGTCCAGAGAACCTGGCTGGGCCACCATCTCCCTGTGGAGTTGCCAGCCGGCCCCTCCCCTCTGGAGGCTTTACTTCCCCCACTGTGGTAACATTGATATCTCACGTGTCTTTAAATGCAAAGTGTTTTCCATATATTCATTCATCTCATCCTCAAAACGGTCCCAAGTGCTTCTATTTAGCCCACTTCATAGTTCGGTTGGTAGAGGGGTTTGGAATTAAAAATTTTGTTTTAGCTGACAAATCCCTTTCTGAAACGGAACAGTAAAAGAAAATCCAAGGTGCAAGACAGACATGTTAGACCTACTCAGGATGGGAGGAAGAGGTTGGGGGTGAGATGCTGGCACCCCACTCAGCTAACGGTCTCCCCACAATTACTCCCAAGGGGCTCCTCACAAATTAGGGGCCCTGAAGACACGTGTCTGAGATCGGGGCTGCTCACTCGGCCGGGAGTCCCTTCCCGAGAACGCCCGACTGCCCCAGCTGAGGTGAGGGTGGTGAAGCTTTGGGAGAGCTTTGGGAGAGGTCCGCACCCGGCCTCACCAACAACCATGTGGATGCCGACTGGGGGAAGCCAGCTCCCGAGACTGGACCGTGGCAGCCCGACGACTGCCGGTGCCCCGCCAGGTGGGGCCCGGCCCCGGAAGCCGTCAGTTCCAGCCACAGCCCCGCACCCCGCTCCGGGCGCAGACCGCACCCACGGGCCCCCCCCCCCGCGCGCACGCCCGCCCAGCGCTTTCACAGTCACGGTACCCACTCCCCCGCTCGCAACCCCCCACACGTGACCGGCCTCGCGCCCACACCGTTCCCCGCCTCAGCGCGCCCAGCGCCGAGCCTCCCCGGCGGGGGTAGGAGCCCCTGGGTCGGCAGCGGGCGAGGGTGGGGCACCTGCGGCATGCCGCGCCCACCGCTCCTCGGCCCCGCCCCTGGCCCGGCCCCGCCCCTGGCCCGGCCCGGAGGATGTGAGCTCACTCCCACCTCCCTGCTCCCGGCGCAGCCAGGAAGCGTCCGCCCGAGGTCGCGGCCCGCTCGCTGCCAACTGGCCGGCCGCGGCGTCAGCAGCGCGCCAGGCACCCGGCCCGAGTCGCCCGCCCCGACCCTCCCGGCGCCACACGCAGTAGCTGCTTTGCAAATGGGTACGGGGTGAAGGCGGGCACCGGGGCGGAGAGAGGACCCCGCTCGCCGACTCCGCGCCGGCCGGCCCCGCCGGTCGCCGGGGGAGGGCGGGCGCGCACGCCCCGCCCC